TCACAATTTCGGCCACCTGGAGGGTAGTTACGTTGCCTGTGGAAAATGGGAAGTGGAATTGTTGTTTTTCTTATCCCTCCGGCTCGGTCGGTACAGTACGGTACAAATTAAAAATGGAATGGTTGTTGGTTTAAGTAAATCTGCTATATAAATTAAGTGACCAGGTGCGGTGTGTATCTAAACTTTTTTTACTTGTGTTCCCATTAAATGTCAAATACTCTCAGAAATCATGTCACTGCGTTCCATATGGAGGGACATCTTACTTTTGTAGAAAAATCGGGTAACCAATCGATTTTTTTTTTCAGGAAACGTTCGTTCCCTGATTTGCAGCAACGGCACGGCCGTGTAACTGGAAAATGTAGAAAAACTTGTACTTTTCTGTGTCAACATAGCGCAGTAAAGAATTTTATAAGTAGTTCCATTTACATTCAACGATGTTGCTGTGTTTCCTTTGTTTCCCTACCCTTTTTATTCCTGAGTGCTTGGTGGAATGAAATATCTTTGGAAAGAATAGTTTTCGCCACACGTGAGGCGTCCTCGACAATTTTGAGGCATAATACAGCACACCTGTAAAAAATATGAAAATTGAGAGCAGTTTTTCTTAAAGAGAATGAGGACTTGACCCCTTCGGTTGAATTGTATGCATCTTTGGTGAGCACACACTCTTTTGAGTACACTCCCACAAACGTGTACTGAGCTGCGAATATTTTGGAACTACGGTGTGTACTGGTCGAACACGCTCTCGTTGGAGTGTTCTAAGCTTCGCAGTGTACTTATGAGTACACGCCGAATAGAGTGTGCTGAGCACACTGTTTGCAGAACGACCTCCTTTTTCTGGCACGCCACTCGAACATAAACTTTACATTCCCATTCCAGGAACGACGTTACGTTAAAACGAATGATAGAGGGTTACGTTCCTGAACACGTCACATTCGTTTGGATGTGCTCGGCAAACGCAACAGTGTACTCTCTTTAAAGTGTGCTCACAAGAACACTGCCTTCAGCGTGCTCTCATGAGTACACTACTTTCAACGTGTGCTCATGAGTACACTCTCTTTGGCGTGTACACTCTAAATGTTGTACAGTGAAGATTCTCCATATTATGGTGGTGCAGCTGACTTCGTTACATACCATTGAGAATTCACTGTACCTTATAGATATTTTGACGAATTTCGTTGGTATTAAGGAGAAAATCTCCACCATAATATGTTGGTGCAGCCTTTCATTGTAAGAAATTTACAGTGTACTCACGAGCTACACTCTTATGAACGATTACTCAGCTACATATTTTTTCCATGGGCACTACGGTGTGCACAGATCTGAGCACACTCTCGTCGGAGTGTACTCAGCTAAGCACACACTCGTTAGAGCGCATGTACACACTGCCGAGTTTGCAGAGTGAATGCCCCTCTGCCGCTACACCTGCAACCCGGTCCCGCGGTTTCGGGTACATGTGGACAATCCTTTGCACCATCCCTGAGCGACGTTTCATGAATATCGGCGGCCGGCGCATCCAGATTTGCCCCGGAAAACTAAGAGTGGTGCTTCAAATTTGTCCATCAGTGTCTTGTTCCTTACAGAGTGATCGAATCATTACGCGAGTGAATACCCCAGCGGTGACTGGACGAAACCGAGGCGGTGCACTCGCGTAGGTTGGGCTCCTCTGTAAGGGCGCCTCCTTGTAAATCCATTCAACCCAACACTCATGGAATTAGTAAGATTGACGCCAAAGGAATAAAAGACAAACACATTTGGGGTTAAATTTTACTATCAGTAAATCTATATTTCACATGTTGACACAGTTAAGGAACATGTTTACAATAGAGTCCTTTCCACTCTACAAATCAAAGAGTGTACATGGTACGCTCTAACTGGAGCATGCCTGCAAGCACGCTCTAACTAGCGCATGCCTGCCAAGCATGCACTAACTAGTGCATACATGCCATGTACACGCTAACTGAAGCATACATTTACTACATAAGGGATAGGGAGCTTTCTGCATCAGGAAGCGTGTACATGGCATGTATGCACTAGTTAGTGCATGCTTGGTAGGCATGCGCTAGTTAGAGCGTGCTTGCAGGCATGCTCCAGTTAGAGCATACTATGTACACTCTTTGATTTGTAGAGCACATAATAAACATTGATTTCTAACAAATTGGTTTTTGTTCTAGATTAATTTCTACTGCACATGTAATGTCCCCACATAAAATAGTGACACGATTTCAGGGAGTATATGATTCAGCGGGAGACACCACACATACCTTTCATTTCGAAATTTCTGAATCAAGTTGGCCGACTGAAAACTGTGGATCACAGGCTCAGGCTTCCAGCATACATAGCATAGAGGACCTCCACGAAGATAAAGAACAATTCTTGCACTCAAGATAAAGAAATGCTGGTGCGCTATACACGACGAGCATGGAAGAATCACATCACACTTTCATCCACGTCTCGCATGGAGACCCCCATCTCAATGCATTCGTGCGTGTAGAAGCCCACTTTACACCCGCCCGTTGGCCAGGGCACGCCGTGGCAGCCCTTGGCGCAGTGCTCGCACCGCTGCTCCTCCCCGCACACACCGTTTCTCACGACCAGGAAGAAGTGGGTGTAGCTGTCGAGGATGCGACTCACGTCCGGCTCGTGCATGGCGGCGTGCGCGCACCCGGCCTCGGACGTCCATTCGGGAATGCTGAGGCCGCGAAGACGAGGCAAACTGCCGGGGTTGATGGCGGCCAGGACTCGCCGGGACAACCTGCAGGGCAGGACGAGCCACTCCAGGGCGGGCAGTCCGGGCAGAGCCGAGGCCAGCTCTGCCTCCAGGCGGACGTCGCGTTCAGTGGAGTAGGAGGAGACCAGCTTCCGCAGGGCGGCGCGGCCCGAGGACGCCAGCGCCGTCAGCAGCCCTCTGCTCCACGGGAGGAACGGAGCTCAGGCTGTAGTATTTGAGCTGCAGCTCCTGGAGGTGCGTGGCGGCGCGCAGGAAGGCCGCTGCGGTGGCCTGGGACGCAGCCTGCACGGCGCTGTTCTTCCAGTCCTCCACGGTCAGGTTCAGGGAGCGCAGCGACGCGCACTTCGCCACCAGCGGCAGGTTCTCCATCACGTGGCACTCCAAAATCCGCAGCCCGGGGATGGCGGCCAGCAGCGGCGCCACGCCCTGGCAGTCCCCCCACAGCGTCACGGCCTGCAGCGTGGCGGCGCACTGTGGGTCAGAATCGGAAAAACCTTTGCAATATGACGATTCGTCAAGTTGCGAATTGCGGGAAAGTAGATCGTAGGTGTGATAGAGGAATGTCAACGCTGCTAAAAGACGAAAAAATTTCGTCTCTATCCCCCGCCTGGTCGCCAGGCTCGACGTTTTTGTCTCCGCCGTTTGGAAGGAGGCGCGCGACCTAGCGCAGAGCGGAGAAAATGTACCTTGTTTCAGCGTCGTTCTACGGGACGCTACTCCATTTGAAGATTGTACAAGCATGGTTTCCCGTAGTTTGAAACCTCATCTTTCCATTGGTACCAAAATTTTTTGGGTAGCGTTCATAGTTTCGCCGCCAGAGCCAAAACCACGTGACCATGCACATTTGTCTATTTTTTACATTTTTCTCTAACAAAACAGGCTGCCAAACTTTGCCAACCTCTTGCAACCTCCTGATTCCTATCGCGATGTGAAGCTAAAAATGTCCCCTTTCGAATGCACCAAGCGGAATTTGCGCCAATTTGCGCCGAGAGGCCCAAAAGGCGCGATATTCGTACACATTTAGTGTGATGCGTGCTATGCGTCCGTTCGCCCGTTCGTTCGTTTTGGGACTTCCCGTGGTCCGATCTTCACCAAATTTGGTATGCAGCCTCCTTGGGTGACCCTTAGAGCCGCCCACTGTAAAAAAATTTCTCGTAAAAAAACGAAATTTTTTTGGGTAATTTTCTTTTACGAACTGCTCGTTATTTTACAAAAATGTCGTTTATATACGAAACATGTCGTATATTTTCGAAATGTTTTCGGCCCATTATCAAGATTTTCAGCTTCAACAAGCGTGATGTAAAAATTCTTCCAAAAAAATATTTTTTTTCTTCGTAACAACTACTGTTTCAGTTCAAAAAGTTTACGAAATGTTTTCATATATAAACGACAACTTCGCAAAAGAAAATTACCCAAAAAATTGTCGTTGTTTTTGGACAATATTTTGTAAAGCCTCACTGAACTAAACATTTCGTAGTGATATTGTCTGTAAATTCGCCAATTTGGGAAGATTTCCCTCTCTTTACGAAGTGATTTTGTCGGATTACGATACATTTTGTAATGATTTTGTATAATTGCGATACATTTTGTAAATTGACAAAACAATAACCTTTTTTTTATGAAACATATCGTGCAGTAATATTTCGTAAATTCACGATATTTTTTTACAGTGCCCCGTGGCAGCAAATCCGATCCGAGCCCCAAGGTTGCTGCTGTAGGTGCATCATGGTCTTCATAGGGTCGAAGAGGATTTAGGCACAGTATGCAGCGAGAATGGCATGTAGGGGTATTTTTGGAATCGGGTTGACAAGACAAAGTCAATGGTGCTAGTTTCGAGCAAATCGGAGATGTTTGGACCTGGGTTCAAATCCCGGTGAGGGGACCATTATTTAAAACTCAAATTTTACATTGTTTAATATGTTTTAGGGGTTGCTGATGACGAAAATAACATTCATTTAGATCCAGACCCAGTTCAAAACCCGTTAGGGTTAAACATAGGTGAAATTCACGAATTTTTAAATGTACAGGACAGGCTAAAGTTGCCGATGTGTATCGCCATTTTTTCCTGTTGTTCTGCTACGCCAATGAGTCAAGGGTACGCCACTGACTCAAACTGACGCCAGAAATGGATTCAGCGCACCTGGAAACACTTCGGCAAGTAAACATTTGGAAAGATTTCTTAAAATTTGTGTTTCTCGGCTACGCCAATGGGTCAAGGGTACGCCACTGACTCAAATTGACGCCAGAAATGGATTCAGCGCACCTCAAAACCCCCCTCACAGCAATTTCACATCGATAACTCAAATCGTTTCCATGGTAGACATTTTGCAAAGGTTTTTCTGATTCTGACCCATAGTGCGGCGTGCGAGCGCAGCACGCGGTGCACGAAGCGGGGATCCACGTTAGAGAGATCCACCTCCTTGATGGACGCCGGGATCAGCGGCGCGGGCCCAGCCCCCACGGGCCACTGCACCATCCCGACTACCCACACGACCAACCGGGTCAGGCCCTGGGTAGAGAAGACCTCCGCCAGCAGGTCCGCGGCGTGGCCGTCGTTGGATTTGTGGGCCACCACGCGCACGTCCAGAGTCCTCAGCATCCCCAGCGCCGCCTGGTTGCGGATCGCGAGTTTGGCCGCAACCTGCCGCGAGGGGTCGTTGTCCACGTCGAGGATCAGCTCGGCCGCCGCGCACCTGGTCGTGGCGGCCAGCGTGCCGAGCGCGTCGCTGTCGCCATCAAACCACATGTACAGGCGGGAGGCACACGGAGCCACGCGCAGAACGGCGGGCCGGAGGCTTGCGGTGGAGACGTCGCGTTGCTCGAAGTCCATGCTGCGTCGCCGCCACAGCTCCGACCGAAGAGCGACGTCCCGCAAGCGATGACACACCGCCCGGCAGGACAGCAGGTCTGGCGTGCTCAGGTACTCCAGCACGCTCAGCAGGTCGTCGTCCGGCAGCGACAGCAGCGACGTCTGCGCAGAGTTAGGAGGGAGAGGTACAGAAAACGTTGACGCTGACATGAAAGCAGATAATACTAATGAAAATGTTTACTTAAATTTACGGTGGTATAAATTTGCCACGGTTAATACTGGTAAGATATCACTTACCAGGGACTTAGGGAAATCTTAGGGAAATCACATACTTGGGGAAATCACTCGAAGCTTTTTCGGTGACAAATTTCTTACGCATGCACTCAAGACTCCTTGCGGACACCAATACGAACGCAATACGGACGGTTTTGTGCAAACGTACGGTACGGACGTAAAACTCTTCCTAATACGGATGAAATCACCCGTATTACAAGCAAAATCTATCCGTAAGTACAATTGCACAAAAATGTCCGTAATACAGATAGATGCATCCGTAAGAAGTTCAGTGTGTGTTTATATGCGCCCTACCCAGAAACACCAACGTAGCTTCTAGGCTCAGCGTTTACATTGTGAAAAATGGTGACAGAGTGGAAGGTTTACGCCCTTTTTCTGCGTACGGCTTAAATTTGGCTTGAAATGTTGTTTAACTTGGGTGAAACCTAAAAGGGATCCGAGAATAAGAATGTGAGGCCCTGGAAACCAGACAGTGTGCCGGGGCTACATTGCGCGCAGTTAGCATACAGAAGAAGCGCGAGCGCGAGACATTTAAATCGAGGGCAATCAATGGTTTCGGCAGGCGACTTACTGCACTGCACACGTACAATGTACAATTTTGTACGAAACATCGGTTGTCTGCGCCCACGAACTTTTCACACAATTAAAGTACGAAAAACTGAAAATTTTTCACAATTTTGTGCGAAACCGCGTACACATTTGTACGAAAAGTTCGTGTGCACAAAATACTTTCATGTTTCGTCCAAATTGGTACGAAAACATTTAGTATGTGGGATACATGCCGCACACTGTTGGGTCGGACTTCCGGTCCCGCACGGCTATGCAGCTCTCTCTCGACTTGCCCAGCAGCTTTGCGTGTCTCCAGGCATACAGGCGATTCAAAAATCGTTAGTCCGAAATGACCCAGGGACTCAGCCTCTCTTGGTTTTCAGGAAGTACACACCAAAAGCTTCATAATACGAAGAAACCGAAGGCATTGCAAATTCTGCGAAGAATTGCTTCGTATTACGAAGCAAAATACTTCGTGTAATAAGGTACTGTCGTAGATCCTGAACCGGAAGCAATCTGATCAGCAGACGCCAAATTGGCCGGAAACTAACCTCTCTTCGGATCCAAAACTATAGCCAAGCTGTACAAATATTGCTCGCGAAACACATTTGCACTGCAAACAAGTATCAAACAACTGTTAATGTTCAGGTGTGGCCGATACCTTTGACTAACGTCTCTTTCCCATGTCAAGTTTGGATCTACTTCCGCCAACATGGCGTCCGTGTGCTTCCGGTTCAGGGATCTACGAAAGTACCCTGAAGCATTTCTTAACACGAGGCAATTCTCCAATGCCTTGCTTCTCTTCGTGGGTGCGAAGCAAACGATTGGTAGATTTTGCTGAATGAAACTGCGATCTTGCAAAGTGCACGGTCCGGTTTAGTCCATCCGCAAAGCATGAAATGATTCACGAACTTCCTGGGAACAACGGACCCGGCGCCTGAAGTCGCCTTACCTCTTCGTTTGGCCCCTGCGACGGGACTTCTTCCTTCGCCATGGTTTGGCCGTCCGCAGCAGCTTTTGGAGACTTCCGCAAGGACTCCATGACCGTCAGGTTCCGACAGTGGTCGAGGATGAAGTCTCCTGGGAAAGCGCTCGAAGTCTTGAGTGCGGCCCACGTTGGATGAAGCGGTGTCGGGACTGTAAAAGTGCCAGTAACGGGGCGTAAATTTAAGGGAATCCTAGCCAGTGTAATGACCTGCTGGACACTTGAAACATAAGACCTCATCCCAGAAATGGAAAGCACCTCACAAATTCCATCCGTAACACGAGTGTAAGCGTGCATAAGTAAATATTGCGTATCGTTACGCTGCGTGAGGGGAAGGGGACCCGGGCGGACCCGGGCCTGCGTAACGCCACGTTCTAAGGTGAGACTGGGGGAGCGAAAAGTGTCCAGCAGTGCGTGACGTAATGAATGGATGGACTCTAATGAAAGCGCGGGTCCAGAAACGAGGGGCGAAAAGGACCAAAGGGTACCTCTATGAATCTTGAAACGCAAGAACAAAAGTAAGCCCTCTAAAGGGCTTCTGCGCATGAGCACCGGGCGGTGGGGAACGTCTGGGCATGCAGAAGCTGTTTTCAGGGCTCACTTTTGTTCTTCCGTTTCTAGATTAATTGGAGTGCAAGATTCCCCCCTCCCCCGCGCATTTTAGAAAGCCGGCATTCAACACCGTGACGCAAGACTACGAAAAGTTAGTTTAATTTATATTCCATGATTCTTCGTACCCTCAACCCAACAATAGGGTACTTTCGTGGATCCTGAATCCGGAAGCAAGCAGACCAGCAGACGCCAAATAGGGTACTTTCGTAGATCCTGAAACCGGAAGCAAGCAGACCAGCAGACGCCAAATTGGCCGGAAACTAACCTCTCTTCGGATCTAAAACTATAGCCGAGCTGTAAAATTATTGCTCGCGAAACACATATGCACTGCAAACATAAACGACTGGTTATGTTCAAGTGTGGCCGATACGTTTGACTAACGTCTCTTTCCCATGTCAAGTTTGGATCTACTTCCGCCAACATGGCGTCTGTGTGCTTCCGGTTCAGAGATCCACGAAAGTACCCTATTGGCCGGAAACTAACCTCTCTTCGGATCTAAAACCATAGCCGAGCTGTAAAAATATTGCTCGCGAAATACATATGCACTTCAAACAAGTATTAAACGACTGTTTATGTTCAAGTTTGGCCGATACGTTTGACTAATGTCTCTTTCCCATGTCAAGTTTGGATGTACTTCCGCCAACATGGCGTTTGTGTGCTTCCGGTTCAGGGATCCACGAAAGTACCCTATTTCCACAGCCTCGTACTACTATATTCCGTAGGACTCAAAGTATCCCCCGCATCCGTAGCCAAGTAATGAGGTGTAACCCCCACAGAGAACGTTAGCAAGAAGAGCGCGGAATATGTGAGGATCTGGGTACGGAGAATCATCAAAAGTTCATTTCTGAATTCCCCGTACCATTTTATTCCACGGCGAAGGAAGGCAAAAACTTACACAGAGCTGTGCAGAGCTGTGCGAACAGGAGGCTTTGTGTGGCGTTGCTGGCTGCTGCCGACGCCGACTGCTGACGCGGACTCGACGCGGCGACGGCGACTCGGGCGGGCCAGGGGTGGGGGGTGGCCGGGCTCGCAACCCGACTCCCGGCTGGCGGAGGTAGAGGCTTTGGCGAACTGCTGCTGCTCAGAGGCGGAAGTAAGTAGAACTGAAACGGCTGTCGGAATTGACCCACCAGCTGAACCGATCTTGATTCGAGGGAAGGATTTTTCCAATCTACACACTAAACTTCTTACGGATACATCCTATCTGTATTACGGACATTTTTGTGCAATTGCAATTACGGATAGATTTTGCTTGTAATACGGATGAAATCATCCGTATTACAAAGAGTTTTACGTCCGTACCATACGGATATTTTCGTCTGTATGTTACGGACACGAAAACCTTTGTATTACGGATAAAATCATCCGTATTACAAGCAAAATCTATCCGTAATTGCAATTGCACAAAAATGTCCGTAATACAGATAGGATGTATCCGTAAGAAGTTTAGTGTGTAGAGGAACCAACGCGGGGAAAAGTAGGGAAGATTGGCAGGATCTACGAGGACCTAAGGTAACCTGTGAGTGAATGTGAGAGCGAAGGTGTCCACGGTGCCCGCCCACTAAACCCGTTTGGTTCGCCTGTACACTTCTTCAGTCTTCGTCGGTGAAGATCAAAAGCAATAGGGTACTTTCGTAGATCCTGAACCGGAAGCAAGCAGACCAGCAGACGCCAAATTGGCCGGAAATTAACCTCTCTGAATCTAAAACTATAGCCGAGCTGTACAAATATTGCTCGCGAAACACATATGCACTGCAAACAAGTATCAAACGACTATATATGTTCAAGTGTGGCCAGTACGTTTGACTAACGTCTCTTCCCAATGTAAAGTTTGGATCTACTTCCGCCAACATGGCGTCTGTGTGCTTCCGGTTCAGGGATCAACGAAAGTACCCTACTCCTGACCGCAGTTCATCAGAGATCTGAACGTAAGAGGAAACTGATCAACCTGTAACCGAGCCGAAACCAGCACCACAAATTTAGCACATCAAAATGTAGAGAGGATTGCGACGCGCAAGTTACGTAGTGACCGTTACACAGGGCAAGGTCGTGATTGAGTCGTCGACTTCCGGTTAGGATCGTGAAGAATTAATAGACTATTCTAGTCGTGGCTGAGTGAAGAACAAGAAGAATGACAAAAGACGCTTTAAAGTGTATATATTTGATGAAATATGTTGCTTTTACTACAAAATATTTGAATTAACTTCTACCAAGCTAGGGAACTTAAACATTTGAAGTAAAAGTGCAAAAAAGTACACTGTGGAGATTATTCTTGTTCTTCACTCAGCCACGACTAGAATAGTCTATTCACTCGAGCGTGACGTTTCTTCAACTTCAGCCGATAGATGCCATGTCTGCATTCCGATTTTGTTCTACTTCCGGTCCACACGTCTTTTGAAATCAGTACCTTGTAAGTGGGACTGTTGGTGGCGTTGCGCTCCCTGCTGCACCTTGGCCTAGGGAATCTGCACGCTCTGGGCCTTCCCGACCTCGTGTCTCACCCGCGTAACGCTGTGGCACTCGGGAACGGGGTTGCGACCTGCGTATCGTCATGTGAGTACATTTTTCAAGAATGGGAAGTTGAATCCGAGGTCAGTTGAGTAATTTGGCTTGACGCTGGGCAAGGGTGGCGGGGACGGGCCTGCGTAACTCTGCGTAACACAGGCAGTCCTAGGGGACGCAAAAGTGTCCGAAGGTCTTGACTGGAAGTCTGGAGCCACGGCCCAAGAAAGCTAGCACTCCTTGCAGCGTTCCAAACATTATTGATCCCCGATGGTGCCTCTGGGTGTCACAAACTTCGCTCTGCCTACACTTGCCTGTCAACGCAGGTAGGTAGCTGCAGGCTTCAGCTCTGAAATCCTCTGACATTTTTGCCAAGCTCACGTACGGGTTTTGTTTTTCTACTGTGCCCCAGAGCCGGCGCAGTTGTGTTTGAGGTAATTTAAATTTAGGCCTCGGGTGTTTCGTGTTGAATGATGCGACGAATGGAACTTTGTCGTCATCCTATATAATATTTCGCATGTTTGTGGCACGGCTTGTTGTCATTACGTGATAAAAGTTTGGGTAGGCTAAAAGGTCTATTTCAACGTGGGGTGAATCACTCAACGTTCTGGTACACAAGTTTACATGAGTACGGCTGAGTACACCTTCTTCAAACCGTTTTAGACTAGTGTTTAAGGCGACACACAACGCCAAATCGTGCCAAAAATTTGAGAATTTAGTTTTTTTTAAACTTGTGAGTACACGGAGTGCAGGCCAATTTGTACACACTAGTACACTAGTGATTCACCCGCCATGTTTCCATCCCGTTGACTGTTTCACTGTGTCCACTTCGATCCTTCGAGCGATCAAACGCACCGGAAGTCGAGTCGCGTCAGCTCATCGCGAACATTTTATACGAGAAGTTGTGTCCACAACGTTTATTGGGGGGAGGCGTCAATTGCGGTGCATTTCTTTTAGCGATGGATCGAAGTGGTCTCAGCGAAAAGGATAATCTGATAACTTTATTGTGCGACCTCCGCGTTGGTTTTTTAGGGTGCTTCAAAGAAGCTGAGGGCCGGAAGGCGGAGAACCAAAACGGAATTCAGAAATGATAGTTTCTAAGATAAATATAATGAGCTTCACATTATCCGCCGAGTATTTTTCCTTTAGATACTGCCACTCCAGCTATTGGTCTCATTCTTCAGACCCAGAGCTTTTTTAAGCTATTGGGCGGCGGAGGAGTTGACATTTGTCCTCTGACCGAAACACTACTTTGCTCCATGGGTTCACGGTCTCTAATGCCACGCTCCCACTGTCCGACAGCGTTGCACTGCTTCGTCCGGCGGGGCCCTCAGACTCGATTCGCTTCCCGAAGAAGACGTCTGCGGCGGCCGTTTCCGTCCGAACGGCCATGGAGTCCGAGGGGAAGCCGTCTGACGCCACGCAAGTCGCTGCCGTGGACAGCCCAGCCATGGCCATGGAAGATGAGATGCAGGGACTCAACGTGGAGGTGAGTCCCTCGAGCTGTCAGGGGAAGTGGTATTTACAACTGTATTGAAGGGTATGGTGGTGACTCCTAGGCATAAAGTTGTGGAGAAATCTGTTAACAGCTTGTGATAATTCCCCAGAACATAATATTTTCCGTAGCCTTCTTGGAATCTTCGGGAGGTGGTTGGTTACGGTCATCTCCGTTCGCCTGAATGGTCCTTTTAGGACATTCGTGGAATATTGTAAGTCTAACGGAGAAACACGCTACGGAAAATGTTAGGTTTTGTCTGCGAAGAATTATGTCCAATGAACTTCTTGGCTTTTCTGTAGCTTTTTAATTTTGACGAAAAATATGTAAGAGTCGACAGGGTCGGATTTCGCCTCTCCGACTTGGCTCATCTTGTGGTGGGAGTCTTAGTTCCCTCGAGAGATTCTAAAAGCCGGAGTAGCGGAGCCGGCTAAAGTTACACTCTCACTCCAGGAACGTGACACGTTGAAACGAACGTGAAAAAATGTCACGTTCGTTTGAGTATTGTGGCACATTCGTTTGGGTGTGAATAGGCCAAAAATCATCTTGTTCACATTCAAACGAACGTGACACGATACTCAAACGAACGTGACATTTTTTCACGTTCGTTTCAACGTGTCACGTTCCTGGAGTGAGAGTGTAACTTTAGCCGGCTCCGCTACTCCGGCTTTTAGAATCTCTCAAGGGAACTAAGACTCCCACCACAAGATGAGCCAAGTCGGAGAGGCGAAATCCGACCCTGTCGACTCTTACATATTTTTCGTCAAAATTAAAAAAGCTACAGAAAAGCCAAGAAGTTCATTGGACATAATTCTCCGCAGCCAAAACCTAACATTTTCCGTAGCGTGTTTCTCCGTTCAGACTTACAATATTCTACGATTGTCCTAAAAGGACCATTGAGGCGAACGGAGGTGACCGTAACCAACCACCTCCCGAAGATTCCAAGAAGGCTACGGAAAGCATGACCACACTGGAAATGAATAGGTCACCACCATCACCCTTCAAATGTGTGATGCAACTTCGTTGTCCAATTTTGGGTGACGAAGTATTCCATCACCCGAAATTTGGTAACCGGCGTTAGGTCGCCCAAATTCGGGTAACATCGTCGGCGACGCCGTGAGATTCCCGATGACGGCTATGTGCACTCTCAGCACGTTATTGACTTTTAATCATTTTGTCAGCACTTATGCAAGTAATTTGTGCAATTATAATACGTACTTTTCCTTTTTTAAAGAACTACGTAAGAGATATTAAATAATGTACTGAGAATTTCGTTTTGTACATAATTGTACAAAGGAAATTAGTCATACTTACCTGGAAAATACCAAGTATTATTGCCGTTTACGAATACGTAAGTAATGAGGAAAAAGTCAGCAACGAGAGTGTGGCGTTGAGGCCTCTGGGCCACATGGCGGTCGTCGTGGTGGCCCCGGAAGGACGCCATCGGGGACCTCACGGCATCGTCGTCACCCAAATCAGGGCAACATAACGCCGGTTACCACATTTCGGGCAATATATACTTCGTCACCCAAAAGTTGCATCGCCCATTGAAAGGGTGATGGTGGTGACCCTTTCATTCTCAGTGCAAGGTGAAACGGTGCGAATTTGGTTCACACACTAAATGCCATGGGACTTCTTTTGTCCCACGATTTATGCTATTTTAAGCACATCCGACGCTGATATAATTTTGTCTGACGCTTGCTGCAAATTGTACTTTTACTATACAATTTGTCCCCCCTGGCGGACACAAAATTGCATCACCACCGAATGTGCATCCTTCATGGGACAAAAAAGTCCCATGACATTCAGTGTGCACCTCAGATCGCGCTTCGCACCGTTCGCACTTCCCCATCACCGTTTGGCATCGGTTGGGTTGGAAGCCAACCTCTATAGCTACGTTCAAAATGGGCCAAGTTCTTCCCTCACTTAAATGTTTTGGATTGTAAAAAAGGTGAAACTTTTACTTGACATGATTGCCTAACTTTATGTTTGAAAATATTTTGACGTTTGATCTAACATGAACACCTCCGCATACTTTGAAAAGTTTGTGTTTCTGAGCGAATACGTTGTTACATTTTTGACAACTTACACCACATGAGCCCTCTAATGAAGGCAGCAGGGCGACTCCACGCCAACTGAGTCAGTCACAAAACGGCATGGTCTCTGATCGGGACGAAACTTACGCAAATCGTTGGTCTACGTAGTGGGATTGAGTGTTCATGGAGAGGGAAGTACGACGCGATGCAAAAGCATCTGACACTCCGGCTGCGTTCAAGGCTCGGTTCAAGGTATAACCGGCTCGCTTACTGCATCCCTCTAAGTTGAACGGTTTAGACATTGGGACTAGGAAATCCAGCCGGAGTGTCATACACTTACGCACACTGTGAAAGTTTGTTGTCACTTAATGACAAAAACGTGAATGACATTTTCATCACTTTGAAATGATGACAATCTCGTCACAAATTGGTGACATTTTCATCAAAGCTCCGATACTTGTTGCATGGGCGTGACAAAAATGTCATAAATTGACTTGATGACACCCTTGTAAGGAAAATTAGCCTTGAAATTGTCATCAAGTGACGACTCAAATTTTCACAGTGCGACTGCAGTCATAGTGGTTCTATTAAAGGCGAAAGGAATTCTGGCCACTCTACTTATTGGTGCCCCGGACCTACGACTTCGAGCATGCACACTAAACTTCTTACGGATACATCCTATCTGTATTACGGACATTTTTGTGCAATTGCAATTACGGATAGATTTTGCTTGTAATACGGATGAAATCATCCGTATTACAAAGAGTTTTACGTCCGTAACATACAGACGAAAATATCCGTATGGTACGGACGTAAAACTCTTAGTAATACGGATGATTTCATCCGTATTACAAGTAAAATCTATCCGTAATTGCAATTGCACAAAAATGTCCGTAATACAGATAGGATGTATCCGTAAGAAGTTTAGTGTGTGGGCAATCCCGAAGTCGAAAGTCCGGGACACCAAGTAGGCTCGTGGCCATATTGGCCTGGAAAATGTGAAAACTTCACTGAGAAGAATGGGTCACCACCATCACCCTTTAGATGGGTCTTGCAACTTGTTGCCCAATTCTTGGTGACAAAATGTTCATCACCCCGAAATTTGGTAACCGGCGTTAGGTCGTCCTCAAATTTGGGTAACGTCGACCACGCCGTGAGGTCCTCGATGGCGTCCTTCCGGGGCCACCACGATGATCGCCATATGGCGTTGAGGCGGCGGTGAGACCCGGAGGCCTCAACGCCACAGAGCGGTCGTCGGGGACCTCACGGCGTCGCCGACGACGTCACCCATATTTGGGCGACCTAACGCCGGTTACCACATTTCGGTTGATTAATATTACGTCACCCAAAATTGGGCAACGAAGTTGCATCACCCATTTAAGGGGTCATGGTGGTGACCCATTCATTCTCGGTGTTCCGACCTGTTGGGTACGATTTAATAATCATGCTTGACACATTCGCTGCGACGGGGTTTTGGGCGGAATAGCCCAGACTACGATGGTTTAGGGGGCATTCCAGAGCCGATTGACAGTGGTCGTAGTTGACGATTTTGCTCATTTTTGGCTCAAATGTTACCTACCCATAGGTAAACACCCCCACAAAATTTCAGCCCTCTGGGTCAGTTAGTATGGGAACTGTGAGCAATCAAAGTTTTTGGCTATTTTGCTTTAGACGTTTTTGACCAAATTGCACTTTTTTCCTGAAATGATCCGGAATTCTCTTCTTTTCGGTCCTGAGGTATGAAATTTGGTACGCGAATGTAAAATTGAGTGGTGAATCCGAATCTGCACGCAGAACAGAGCAGTCCATCGTTGCTAAAACTGCACTCAAAGCCAAAAAATAACTTTTTTAAGTGTTTTACAACCTTCAATTTTCTCCCCATCCCGGAATCCAAACTAGACCCGTTCTAGGCGGAAATTATTTCTTACACGACTACCTAAAAACAAGCGGCTCGTGTTACCGAGGGTATGGGTATGGTTTGGGCGCTGCAGTGCTCGCAACATTGACAAATACTGAATGTTCAATCCAATGAGATCTCATTGATCGGTGCGTCTGACAGCAAGTTGCATAAAGACTTTTTTGTTCAAAATTTGATTCCTGACAAGTTGTTCTCAGAAAGTTTTGCTCTATCTCTTACGGTTTGCACAGTAAACTTCTTACGGATACATCCTATCTGTATTACGGACATTTTTGTGCAATTGCAATTACGGATAGATTTTGCTTGTAATACGGATGAAATCATCCGTATTACAAAGAGTTTTACGTCCGTAACATACAGACGAAAATATCCGTATGGTACGGACGTAAAACTCTTTGTAATACGGATGATTTCGTCCGTATTACAAGCAAAATCTATCCGTAATTGCAATTGCACAAAAATGTCTGTAATACAGGTAGGATGTATCCGTAAGAAGTTTAGTGTGTGTGAAATATGGGGCTAAGATGGTTTGGGACCGAAAAATGTGTCTCTAGAGTACTATCTAGTTTTGATCAGCACCTCTTGAAACGTCTTTTTAACATGTAGTCCCTCGAGACATATTTCATCGGTCCCCGAAAATATGTCTCGAGGGACTATGTTAAAAAGACGTTTCAAGAGGTGCTGATCAAAACTAGATAGTACTCTAGAGACACATTTTTCGGTCCCAAACCATCTTAGCCCCATATTTCACAAACCGTAAGAGATAGAGCAAAACTTTCTGAGAACAACTTGTCAGGAATCAAATTTTGAACAAAAAAGTCTTTATGCAACTTGCTGTCAGACGCACCGATCAATGAGATCTCATTGGATTGAACATTCAGTATTTGTCAATGTTGCGAGCACTGCAGCGCCCAAACCATACCCATACCCTCGGTAACTCGAGCCGCTTGTTTTTAGGTAGTCGTGTGAGAAATAATTTCCGCCTAGAACGGGTCTAGTTTGGATTCCGGGATGGGGAGAAAATTGAAGGTTGTAAAACACTTAAAAAAGTTATTTTTTGGCTTTGAGTGCAGTTTTAGCAACGATGGACTGCTCTGTTCTGCGTGCAGATTCGGATTCACCACTCAATTTTACATTCGCGTACCAAATTTCATACCTCAGGACCGAAAAGAAGAGAATTCCGGATCATTTCAGGAAAAAAGTGCAATTTGGTCAAAAACGTCTAAAGCAAAATAGCCAAAAACTTTGATTGCTCACAGTTCCCATACTAACTGACCTGGAGGGCTGAAATTCTGTGGGGGTGTTTACCTATGGGTAGGTAACATTTGAGCCAAAATGAGCAAAATCGTCAAAGGTCAACTTCGACCACTGTCAATCGGCTCTGGAATGCCCCTGCTTTCTCCCCCTAAATGTGCGAACGCTCTGCGCAGACGTCGCTGCTGTCGCTGCCGGACGACGACCTGCTGAGCGTGCTGGAGTACCTGAGCACGCGAGACCTGCTGTCCTGCCGGGCGGTGTGTCATCGCTTGCGGGACGTCGCTCTTCGGCCGGAGCTGTGGCGGCGACGCAGCATTGACTTCGGGCAACGCGACGCCTCCACCGCAAGCCTCCGGCCCGCCGTCCTGCGCGTGGCGCCGTGTGCCTCCAGCCTGTCCATGTGGTTTGAAGGCCGCAGCGACGCGCTCGGCACGCTGGCCGCCACGACCAGATGCGCGGCGGCCGAGCTGATCATCTACGTGGACAACGACCCCGCGCGGCTGGAAGCGGCCAAACTCGCGATCCGCAACCAGGCGGCGCTGGGGATGCTGAGGACTCTGGACGTGCGCGTGGTGGCCCACAAATCCAACGACATCCACGCCGCGGATCTGCTGGCGGAGGCCTGTTCCACCCAGGGCCTGGCCCGGTTGGTCGTGGATGTCTCCTATGGGATAAGGTGGTGCAAGGGGGCTGGGCCCTCGCCGCTGATCCCGGCATCCATCAAGGAGGTGGCCCTCAGGAACGTGGACCCTCGCTTCGTGCACCGCGTGCTGCGCTCGCACGCCGCCACGCTGCAGGCCGTGCAGCTGAGGGGGAACTGCCAGGGCGTGGCGCCGCTGCTGGCCGCCATCCCCGGGCTGCAGCGCTTGGAGTGCCCCGTGATGGAGGACCTGCCGCTGGTGGCGAAGTGCGCGTCGCTGCGCTCCCTCAAGCTAGCCGTGGTGTACTGCCGCGACGAGGCTGCGTTCCAGGCCGCGGCGGCCTTCCTGCGCGCCGCCACGCACCTCGAGGAGCTGCAGCTCGAGTACTACAGCCTGGGCTCCGTTCGCGTGGAGCAGGGGCTGCTGACGGCGCTGGCGTCCTCGGGCCGCGCCGCCCTGCGGAAGCTGGTCTACTCCTGCTTAATTGGTTTCGAAGACCGCCTCGAGACGGAGCTTGCCTCGGCTCTGCCCGGACTGCCCGCCCTGGAGTGGCTCGTCCTGCCCGGGACTGTGCCCCGGCGCGTCCTGGCCGCCATCAACCCCGGCAGTGCGCCCCGTCTTCGCGGCCTTATGATTGCCAACTGGACGTCCGAGGCCGGGTGCTTGCACGCCGACATGCACGAGCCGGACGTGAGTCGCGTCCTGGCCAGCTACAGCCACTTCTACCTGGTCGTGAGAAACCGTTCGTGCAGGCAGGAGCGGCAGTGCGAGCACTGCGCCAAGGGCTGCCACGGCGTGCCTTGGCCAACTGGCGAGGCACTTGTGGGCTTCTACACGCACGAAGCGCCCAGCAGAGAGGCAGCGGATGCATTGAGCTCGGGGTCTCCATGTAAGCTTTGGATCAAACCGTGATGCGACTGCACTGTTGTCGTGTGTGACCGCAAGAATTAGTTGATGCAGGTGTGGGGAGTTCAACAGCCTTGATGCTGGTCACATCAGCTATTAGCTGCCGTGTGCGCTATGACTGTCACCTTCTGGCAAGCTAATTGTTTCAGCGCTACATGTTTGTGGAGGAAATGTTCACATCCTTGAAGCGCGGTACCTGAGAAACTTCTCTTCTCTCCGCGCTATTCGTTGTTCATGAGAGCCACTTTGATAAGCTTCATTTTAGTGCTAACCGTTAGGTCGACCTCTATTTCGGCCACCTGAGGGTTACCGTTCAACTTACAGGGGTGCAGTTATGAAGCCGATTGTGCCTTGAACAGAGACCTACCACCAGATCGCTCTTTTACCCCGTAAGTCAAACTCCTCAACCATATCTTTTTCAGGTGCTCGTTATATTATAAACAATACAAAATTTATTGATTTGTTCCCTTCTAATTCCTCAGTGACGGCTTTTAACTTCTCTTTTTTATTACTATAATTATTAATAGGGTAAGGAATCTTGTGATAGGCATTGTAGCCACTAAATTATCCTACCATTTACAATTTTTGTAAGTCTTGTTTAAATGTTGTGAGTCCGTCATTGATTTCAAACATCTCCAATGAAATGGCATCTATTGTGCTCCTTGATTGTGTTGTGATCTCATATTGTCGGAAAGAAGTCACTTTCCTTTCATTGCACGTCCTCTTGTGATTTCCTTGTGAAAGATCGGACTGTGTTCTAATTCTTTGTAGTTATGCTCAAAAAACAATTGTAAATTACTCTGACACTTGAGCTGTGAGATGCCCTCACAGCTTCATTACGGAACAAAGTTCACTTCAGTGCGGATACATTGTACCTGTACGGCAGAGTTGTTGCCCGTCTGATTTCCTTTGTCACATTGCATTTTGTTTGTTATGGTGAACTTACCTACAAAAGGTTGCAACCAAGACTCCCTATTTAAAGAAGCCAAAGACCTCTTTTTATGAGTGAAATAAATGTAGCACACGTCCGTGTGTTAATGACCTAATTTTCTTAAAATCATTTTCCTTTTTTGTCCCTCATTGCCTGATGACAAATGACAAAACCGGTGACAAAAACGACAATGGGTGGGGTGGGTCGCACCTCGCGAGAAGGGCGCCGTTCTCCCTGGGGGGGTTTGGTGCATCGTGGGAATTTTGCCGAATCTCTAGTTTCCTCTTTTTAAAGCCAGAATGTGTCTAATTTCATATCACCGCGCAATGGGCCAGCGGATCGGTGGAGGCGGCCAATCTCTTGACGCGTTTTTACCTGCAGAGTCGTTACTGGGATCACACGTTCGGTTTGAGTCTCATTTAGCAGACTCGGGAGCCCAAAATGCGTCGAGTTTTGCCGCCCCCGGTCTTCTGGCCCACTGCAGCGCGCTATGAGTGTCGAAGGGGTGGTCTACCTTCACGGCGCTGCGCTCTGAATGGATCTGAACAAAGGTGTTGTGAAGGTAGGCCTGAGAGTGGTGCTTCAATTTTGTCCATCAGCGTCTTTACTGAGTGACCCGACCATTACGCGAGTGCATACCCCATCGGTGGGTGGTCGAAACCGTCGGAGTATTGCACTCGCGTAATGGTTGGGTCACTCTGTACAGCACTTCCTTATAACTCTATTCAACCAAATACGCAGGAATTAGACAGATTGATGGCAATGGAACAAAAAGCAAACACGTTTGGGGTTAAATTTTTGCTTTGAAAAGATATATTTCACAGCTTTCGACAAATAAGCAATTGAGTCCTTTCCACATAACAAACATTAAATTTTAACAAATTGGTTTTTGCTATAGATTGATTTGAACATGTTCTCAGGCTTCCAAAACACTTACATAGCATAGATGACCTCCACGATGATATTTGGACAATTCTTGCACTCAAGGTAAAAATGCTAGTGCGGTATACACGAGCATAGAAGAATCATCACACTTTCATCCACGTCTCGCATGGATACCACATGCTCAATCCATCCACTGCCTCCTTGCCGGGCGCTTCGTGCGTGTAGAAGCCCACCTCATACACCTGCGATGGCCAGGGCACGCCGTGGCAGCCCTTGGCGCAGTGCTCGCACCGCTGCTCCCCCTCGCACAAACTGTTTCCCACGACCAGGAAGAAGTGGGCGTAGCTGGCGAGGATGCGGCACACGTCCGGCTCGTGCATGGCGGCGTGCGCGCACCAAGTTTCGGTCATCTGGTAGAATTCGGGAATGCTGAGGCCGCGAAGACGGGGCATCCTGCCGGGGTTGATGGCGGCCAGGACGCGCCGGGACACAGTGCGGGGCATGACGAGAAACTCCAGGGCGGGCAGTCCGGGCAGAGCCGAGGCCAGCTCCATCTCGAGGCGGTCGCCAAGTTCAGCGCGGCAAGAGAAGCACAGCTTCCGCAGGGCGGCGCGGCCCCATGACGCCAGCCCCGTCAGCAGCTCCACGGGAACGGAGGACGGAGCATAGGACTCGTTGTTGAGCTCGAGTTCCTCGAGGTGCGTGGCGGCGCGCAGGAAGGCCGCCGCGGTGGCCTGGGACGCAGCCTCGTCGGTGCTGCCCTTGCACCGCGACACGGTCAGCTTGAGGGAGCGCAGCGACGCGCACTTCGCCACCAGTGGCAGGTCCTCCATCACGGGGCACTCCAAGCGCTGCAGCCCGGGGATGGCGGCCAGCAGCGGCGCCACGCCCTGGCAGTCCCCGCTCAGGCTCACGACCCGCAGCGTGGCGGCGTGCGAGCGCAGCACGCGGTGCACGAAGCAAGGGTCCACGTCTGTGAGTTCCACCTCCTTGATGGACGCCGGGATCCGCGGCGCGGGCTCAGCCCTCTTGGGCCACTTCACCCTCCAGGTTACCTCCACGACTAACCGGGTCAGGCCCTGGGTGGAGAAGGCCTCCGCCAGCACGTCCGCGAAGGCGTCGTGGCCGTCGTTGCGCGTGAAGACGCCCGAGCGCACTTCCAGAGTCCTCAGCATCCCCAGCGCCGCCTGGTTGCGGATCACGAGTTTGGCCGCTGCCAGCCGCGCGGGGTGGTCGTCCACCTCGAGGATCAGCTTGACGGCCGCGCATCTGGTGGTGGCGGCCAGCGTGCCGGGCGCGTCGCTGTTGCCTGTAAACCACATGGACAGGCTGGAGGCACACGGCGCCACGCGCAGGACGGCGGCTTGCAGGCTTCTGCTGGAGAGGTCGCGTTGCCCGAAGTCAAAGCTGCGTGGCCTCCGTCGCCCGAAGTTGAAGCTGCGTCGCCGCCACAGCTCCGGCCGAAGAGCGACGTCCCGCAAGCGATGACACACCGCCCGGCAGGACAGCAGGTCTGGCGTGTTCAGGTACTCCAGCACGCTCAGCAGGTCGTCGTCCGGCAGCGACAGCAGCGACGTCTACGCAGAGTAAGAAGGGAGAGGTACAAAAACCGGTAACGCTGAAAGCAGATGAAACTAATGATTATATTTGCTTAAATATATGGTGGTATAATTTTGCCACGATGCCACGATTCACTGGTAAAACTGAAGTGTAGTAGCTTGACCCAAGCATAGAGCTACGCTTTACACAGATAAATTTCTACCAAGAACTGCTCTTTGTAATACGAAGAAAACGGCGGCTTCACAGCCTGCGACGCAAATCGTTTGTAATACGAACGATTTTCTTCGTAACACAAAGGAAAAATCCTTCGCAGGCTGCGAAGCCGCCGCTTTCTTTGTATTACAAAGAGCAGTTTTTTTGAAGAGTTTTAAGTGTGTACGCCCTTTTTCTGCGTAAGACATACATTTGGCTTGAAATGTTGTTACATTTGGGTGAAACCTAAAAGGGATCCGAGAATAAGAATGCAAGGCCCTGGAAACCAGACTGTGAGCCGGGACTACATAGCGCACAGTTAGCATACTGAAGAAGCGCGCGCGCGTGACATTTAAATCTAGGGAATCAATGGTTTCGGCTGACGACTTTGCACTGCACACTAAATGTTACGTACAATTTCGTACGAAACATCAGTTGTTCGTGCTCACGAACTTTTCATACAATTTTTGTACGGAAAACTACAAACACAAATAAATTCCTACCAAGAACCGCTCCTTGTAATACAAACCAAACGGAGGCTTTGCAGCCTACGAAGGAAATCGTTTGTTATACAAATGATTTTCTTTGTAATACAAAGAAAAAGTCCTCCGCAGGCTGCGAAGAAGTTTTTCGTAGGCTACGAAGGATTTTTCCTTTGTATTGCAAACAAAAACCTTTGTTTTACAAACGATTTCCTTCGTAGGCTACAAAGCCTCCGTTTTCTTTCTATTACAACGAGCAGTTCTTTGTTTCCACATTTATGTGCGAAATTGCGTACACATTTGTACGGAAAGTTCGTGTGCACAAAATACTGTCATGTCTCGTCCAAAGTGGTACAAAAACATTTAGTGTGTGGGCTACATGCCACACACTGTACGGTCGGACTTCCGGTCCCGCACGGCTACTGCTGCTCTCTCTCTCTCTCGACCTACAGGCGATTTAAAAAGCGTACGTCCGAAATGGCCCAGCGACTCAGCCTGTCTTGGTTCTCAGAAAGTACAGCAAAAGCTTTATAATACGAAGATACCGAAGGCATTGTGAATTCCGCGACGAAGCAAAATACTTCGTGTAATATGAAGCATTACTTCATAACACGAAGCCATTCTCCAATGCCTTGCTTCTCTTCGTGGGTGCGAAGCAAACGATTGGTAGATTTTGCTGAATGAAACTGCGATCTTGCAAAGTGCACGGTCCGGTTTAGTCCATCCGCAAAGCATGAAATGATTTACGAACTTCCTGCGAACAACGGACCCGGCGGCTGAAGTGGACTTACCTCTTCGTTTGGCCCCTGCAACGGGACTTCTTCCTTCCCCATGGTTTGGCCGTCCACAGCAGCTATTGGTGACTCCCTCAAGGACTCCATGACCGTCAGGTTCCGACAGTGGTCGAGGATGAAGTCTCCCTCGAGAAGCGCTTCAAGTCTTGAGTGCGGCCCACGCAGGATGAAGCGGTGTCGAGACTGGAAAAGTGCCAGTAAAGGGGCGTAAATTTAAGGGAAAGAGGAGGGGGGAATCCAGCCAGTGTAATGATCTGCTAGACACATGAAACAGAAAATCTCATCTCAGAAATGGTAAGCACATCTCACAAATTCCATCCGTAACACGAGCCTAAGCGGACATGAGTAAACAATGGCGTACGCTGTGTGAGGGGAAGGGGACCCGGGCCTGCGTAACGCCACGTTCTATGGTGAGACTGGGGGAGCGAAAAGTGTCCAGCAGTGCGTGACGTAATGGATGGATAGACTCTAATGCAAGCGCGGGTCCAGAAACGAGGGGCAAAGAGGACAAAAGGGTACCTCTATGAATCTTGAAACGGAAGGACAAAAGTAAGCCCTGAAAAGGGCTTCTGCGTACGCGCACCGGGCGGTGGGCGAACGTCTAGGCATGCAGAAGCTGTTCTCAGGGCTCACTTTTGTTCTTATTCCTTTTTAAGGTTCATTGGAGTACCCTATCCGCCCCGGATTATAGAAAGCTGCCTTCAACACCGTGACGCAAGACCACAGACAGTCAGTTAATTTTCTTTTACTCCGTACCCTCAACCCAACAATTTCCACAGCCTCGTACTAATATATTCCGTAGGACTCAAAGTATCCTCCGCATGCCCGTAGCAAACCAATAAGGTGTAGGTGTAACCCCTACAGAGAACATTGGCAAGATGGGCACGGAAAATGTCAGGATCTGGGTACGGAGAATCATCAAAAGTCCATTACTGAAGTCCCTTAAACAAGCTGTGCGAACAGGAGCTGTAGCGAGGCGTTGCGTTGCTGTCTGCTGCCGACGCCGACTGCTGACGCGGACTCGACGCGGCGACAGCGACTCGGGCGGGCCAGGGGTGGGGGGTGGCCGGGCTCGCAACCCAACTCCCGGCTGGCGGAGGTGGAGGCTTTAGCGAGCTGCTGCTGCTCAGAGGCGGAAGTAAGTAGAACTGAAACGGCTGTCGGAATTGACCCACCAGCTGAACCGATCTTGATTCGAGGGAACGTTCCTCCAATGTAGAGGAACCAGCGCGGGGAAAAGTAGGGAAGATTGGCAGGACCTACGAGGACCTAAGGTTACCTGTGAGTGAGTGCGAGTGGGAAGGTGTCCACGGTGCCTACTAACCCCGTGTTGGTTCGCCTGTACACTTTTTCAGTCTTCGTCGGTGAAGGTCAAAAGCAATCGAAGAGGCAGGAACCAGCGGTGCGCCACGTTTACGGCTCTTGGACCAGCGGAAGCGAAGCTAAGCTGAAGTCGGGTCAGTACGCGTTGCTCTGGAGGTTCAAGGCAGTGGGGTGGGTGGCGTGCAGCTTCTTTCTGCGTTTGACTACCGGGAATTTTAACGGGGCGATTATTGGAATATTCCATCGCGCTTGGTTTCCGGCCGTCTCAAACAGCATCGGTAGCCGAATTCCCCGGTCGGCAGTTCTTCAGACACCTGAACGTAAGAGGAAACGGTTCAACCTGTAAACTAGCCGAAACCAGCACCCTAAAAGCAGCCTATCAAATTGTAAAGAGGGTTGCGACGCGCATGTTACATTGTGACCGTTACACAAGTCCATGTCGTGATTGAGCCGTCGACTTCCGGTAAGGATCGTAAAGAAATAATCCACCCGAGCGTGACGTTTCTTTAACTTCAGCCGATAGATGCTATTTCTGGATTCCGATTTTGTTCCTACTTCCCCACATCTTCATTGAAATTATCAACTTGTAAGTGCACTCTCAGCCTTTTACCGACTATTTCTCATTAGCAGACGCATTTCTGTAAGCAACCATAATACTTCGTATTTTTTGTCAGTATTTCTTATTAATTACTGCACTGATATTGACGTTTTCTTCGTAAATTTCAAAGAAATTTTTAAGTTTTTAAGAACAAAATACTAAGTATTATGTTTGCTTACATAAATGCGTCTGCTAATGTGAAATAGTAAACGGCTGAGAGTGTGGGACTGTTGGTGGCGTTGCGCTCCCTGCTGCACCTTGGCCTAGGGAACCTGCACGCTCTGGGTCTTCCCGACCTCGTCCTCGTGTCCCACCCGCGTAACGCTGTGGCACTCGGGAACGGGGTCATCGTATCGTCTTGTGAGTTCGTATCTCAAGAATGATAAGTTGAAACCGAGTTTAGTTGAGAAATTTGGCTTGACGCTGGGCAAGGGTGGCGGGGACGGGCCTGCGTAACGCTTCGTAACGGGCAGTGTAGGGGACTCAAAAGTGTCCGAACCAAGGTCTTGACCGGAAGTCTGGAGCCTCGGCCCAAGAAAACTGCACTCCTTGCATCGTTCAACATCGATGGTGCCTCTGGGTATCACGCACTTCGCTCCACTTGCCTGCCAACGTAGGTGGCTCCAGGCATGAGCTCTGTAATCCTCTCATTCATTTTTGCCAAGCTCACGTACGGGTTCTAAAGTTCTCCGTCGTCCGGCCCAGAGCTTTTTTGAAGCTAGTGAGTGGCGGAGGAGTCGTCATTTCTCCTTCCGGTAGAGAGGCCCTCTGACCGAAATGCGAGTGCTTGTCTCCGCGGGTTCACGGTCTCTAATGCCACGCTCCCACTGTCCGACAGCCTTGCACTGCTTCGTCCGGCGGGGCCCTCAGACTCGATTCGCTTCCCGAAGAAGACGTCTGCGGCGGCCGTTTCCGTCCGAACGGCCATGGAGTCCGAGGGGGAAACCGTCTGACGCCACGCAAGTCGCTGCCGTGGACAGCCCAGCCATGGCGATGGAAGATGAGATGCAGGGACTCAACGTGGAGGTGAGTTCCCTCGAGCTGTCAGGGGAAGTGGTGTTTTCAACTTCCTTGAAGGTATGGTGGTGACTCTTGTTGCAAAAAGTTGTGGAGAAATCTGTAAACGGCTTGTGCTGATTCTCTGTACCCAGAAAATAATATTTTCCGTAGCCTTCCTGAAATCTTCGGGAGGTGGTTGGTTACGGTCATCTCCGTTCGCCTCAACGGTCTTCTTTGAACATTCGTAGAATACTGTAAGTCTAACGGAGAAACAGGCTACGTAAAATGTTTGGTTTTGGCTGCGGAGAATTATGGCAAATAAACTTATTGGCTCTGTAAATTTTTAATTTTGACGATTTCGCCTCTCCGACTTGGCTCACTTTGTGGAGGGAGTTTTAGTTCCCTAGAGAGATTCTAAAAGCCGGAGTAGCAGGGCCGGCAAAAGTTACAGTCTCATTGCAGGAACGTGACATCACGCTGAAAAGAACGTGAAAAAATGTCACGTTCGTTTAAGTATTGAATCACATTCGTTTGGGAGTGAATTGGCCAAAAATAATCTTGTTCACATTTAAACGAACGTGACACTGTGCTCAAACGAACGTGACATTTTGTCACGTTCGTTTTAACGCGATGTCATGTTCCTGGAATGAGAGTGTAGTTTTCCAATCTGTGGCCGTTTTTAGGCACGAAGTAGCCTTATTCGCGGAGCGAGCGAGCGACCGCAGGGAGCTCGCTCGGCGGAGCGCCACTCGCCCATGTGACCTGACTAAGGCCGTTTGTCACGCTTCCTGGCAAATGTGTCACAAAAGCCGGGTGACCCTTTGACAGATTCAACCATCTGTTATAGATCGCCCTGGTCACGCTGTGACGCTCACCTGGTGATGTGATCTGTCTAAGGCCGTTTGTCACACTTCCTGACTAGTGTGTCACAAAAACCGGGTCACCCTTTGACAGATTCGACCGTCTGTTATAGAGCGGGCTGTTAGTCACGCCGACCTGGTCACGCTGTGATGTTCGCCTGGTCACGCTGTGACACTGACCTGGTCACGCTGTCACGCTGACCTGGTCACACTGCCCCGCTGACATGATCACGCTGTCTTAATGATCTGACACGCTGTCACACCAGCCTGGTCACGCTGTCACGTTGACCTGGTCACCCTGTCACGCTGACCTGGTCACCCTGTCACGCTGAGCTGGTCACGCTATCACGCTGACCTGGTCACGCTGTCACACTGACCTGGTCACGCTGTCACGCTGACATGGTCACGGTCTCTTAATGATCTGGTCACGCTGTCACGCTGACCTGGTCACGCCGTCACGCTGACCTGGTTACCCTACCACGCTGGCATGGTCACGCTGTCTTAATGATCTGGTCACGCTGTGACACTGATTTGGTCACGCTGTCACGCTGACCTGGTCACGCTGTCTTAATGATCTGGTCACGCTGTCACGGCAGCGTGGTCACGCTGTCACGCTGACCTGGTCACGCTGTCACGCTAACCTGGTGACGCTGTCACGCTAACCTGGTCACGCTGTTACGCAGACCTGGTCACACTGTCACGCTGACATGGTCACGCTGTCACGCTGACCTGGTCACGCTGTCACGCTGACCTGGTCACACTGTCACGCTAACCTGGTCACACTGACCTGGTCACACTGTCACGATGACCTGGTCACGCTGTCACGCTGACCTGAACACGCTATCACGCTGACCTGGTCACGCTGTCACGCTGACCTCGTCACGCTGTCACGCTAACATTGTCACGCTGTCACGCTGACCTGGTCACGCTGTCACGCTGACCTGGTCACCAAGTCACACTGACCTGGTCACACTGTCACAGTGACCTGGTCACGCTGTCACGCTGACCTGGTCACGCTGGCAAATTAGCGTGGTTACGCTGTCACGCTAGGTCCCCTTTTACATTGACCTGGTCAAGCTGTCACGCTCACCTGGTCAGGCGGTCAGGCTGTCCTGGCCACACTCTCACGCTGAAGTGGTTACGCTTTGTTTGAAAATAAGATCTGTCAAGAGTAGCGTAAGGTTTGTGGCGAGTACAGTAAGAAGAGTCACAAACTCGTTAGGTTTCGTAAGCATTGCTTGGACTATTGAGTTTGAAAATTTGATATGTCGAGAGTACGGAAAGATCTGTCACGAGTAGAGTAAGACCTGTCACGAGCCCGTTAGGTTAGGTTAGGATTGGTTGGACCATTTACTTTAAAATAAAGAGCTGTCGAAAGTAGAAAAAGATCTGTCACGAGAAGAGTAAAATGTAACACGAGCATGTTAGGTTATGTTAGAATTGGTACTGTCACGCTGACCTGGTCACGCTGTCACGCTGACCTGGTCACGCTGTCACGCTGACCTGGTCACACTGTCACGCTGACGTCGTCACGGTGACCTGGTCACACTGTCACGATGACCTGGTCACGCTGTCACGCTGACCTGGTCACGCTGTCACGCTGACCTGGTTACGCGGTCACGCTGACCTCGTCACACTGTCACGATGACCTGGTCACGCTGTCACGCTGACGGTCAGGCGGTCAGGCTGTCCTGGCCACACTCTCACGCTGAAGTGGTTACGCTTAGTTTGAAAATAAGATCTGTCAAGAGTAGCGTAAGGTTTGTGGCGAGTACAGTAAGAAGAGTCACAAACTCGTTAGGTTTCGTAAGCATTGCTTGGACTATTGAGTTTGAAAATTTGATGTGTCGAGAGTAGAGAAAGATCTGTCACGAGTAGAGTAAGACCTGTCACGAGCCCGTTAGGTTAGGTTAGGATTGGTTGGACCATTTAGTTTAAAATAAAGATCTGTCGAAAGTAGAAAAAGATCTGTCACGAGAAGAGTAAGATGTAACACGAGCCCGTTAGGTTATGTTACAATTGGTGCTGTCACGCTGACCTGGTCACGCTGTCACGCTCACCTGGTCACGCTGTCACGCTGACCTCGTCACGCTGTCACACTAACCTGGTCACGCTGTCACGCTGACCTGGTCACGCTGTCACGCTGACCTGGTCACCATGTCACACTGACCTGGTCACACTGTCACAGTGACCTGGTCACGCTCTCACGCTGACCTGGTCACGCTGGCAAACTGGCCTGGTTACGCTGTCACGCTGACCTGGTCCCCTTTTACATTGATCTGGTCAAGCTGTCACGCTCACCTGGTCAGCCGGTCAGGCTGTCCTGGCCACACTCTCACGCTGAAGTGGTTACGCTTAGTTTGAAAATAAGATCTGTCAAGAGTAGCGTAAGGTTTGTGGCGAGTACAGTAAGAAGAGTCACAAACTCGTTAGGTTTCGTAAGCATGGCTTGGACTATTGAGTTTGAAAATTTGATGTGTCGAGAGTGCGGAAAGATCTGTCACGAGTAGAGTAAGACCTGTCACGAGCCCGTTAGGTTAGGTTAGGATTGGTTGGACCATTTAGTATAAAATAAAGATCCGTCGAAAGTAGAAAAAGATGGGGGTGCAATGAGTAAGATGTAACACGAGCCCGTTAGGTTATGTTACAATTGGTGCTGTCACGCTGACCTGGTCACGCTGTCACCCTGACCTGGTCACGCTGTCACGCTGACCTGGTCACACTGTCACGCTGACGTCGTCACGCTGACCTGCTCACACTGTCACGATGACCTGGTCACGCTGTCACGCTGACCTGGTTACGCTGTCACGCTGACCTGGTCACGCTGTTACGCTGACCTGGTGACGCTGTCACGCTAACCTGGTCACGCTGTCACGCAGACCTGGTCACACTGTCACGCTGACATGGTCACGCTGTCACGCTGACCTGGTCACGCTGTCACGCTGACCTGGTCACGCTGACCTCGTCACACTGTCACGATGATCTGGTCACGCTGTCACGCTGACCTGATCACGCTGTCACGCTGACCTCGTCACGCTGTCACGCTAACCTGGTCACGCTGTCACGCTGACCTGGTCACGCTGTAACGCTGACCTGGTCACCATGTCACACTGACCTGGTCACGCTGTCACAGTGACGAGAACAGACAGGTTCATCTTCAGCAGATGATGTTCCTGATTCCTTCAATTTCTAACATAATCAAACACACTTAGTTCAAAGCAGCTAATATTTAACACAAATAAAGAAGAAAGAAAGGAAGTACCTTATGAACTTTTGGAACTTCAAACAAATTTGTTGAAGGTTCTAAACACTTTCTGTTCTGTACTGCAAGCTACAAAACAAAAAAGTCAAATACAAGTTTAGTACCAGACATGGAGGTACAAAGCAAAAGAAATTGAAAAGGCAAACCTGTTGAGCAGTATTCCTAAGTTCATACAATAAGTCATTTTTTTCATCTAGACATGTTAAAGGAGAATGAAATGACAACTCAAAAGGTTGATCTGGTTCACTTGTGTAATCCTGTGAATACCAAATTGCATTAATAACACAGCAAGGAAGATACAAAATAAACAAAGCATTAAGGTTTTAAAAAATATTAACAAAAAAAAAAATAAGAAAGCAACCATATTTCATACAACAACAAGAGAAGTCACAAGTTTTATGTTTGGTGCCAAGTAACATTGTATAACACCTTTATTGACCCAAAACAAATAAAGATATTGTTCAGCTTAGATCAAGAAAGGTGCTCCAAAAAAAACTGTAATTTAGTAAGAAGTGAAAGCAAACTGAAACTGACAATACAGGCGGGAAAAATAATTAACACCAAATAATAAAAACAATATAAAAACAACAATAAGACAAGATGACAGATATAAAGTCAAAAAGAAACATATTGTCAATGTAAGAACGACCGCTTGGGTAGACAACACAGAAGCTCTTGAGCTCGAAGGGTTGCCTATGCACAGGCGTTCATGACTACGTCTAACAAGGACATCACACACAAGACCAGGTTTACTGACACGTTAACCAAATTTGGATGACAGGCTGACGACGTGGCTCAGCCCAAATGACGGTGACAACGTGACCAAGTCAGGGCAACCAAGTCATTGTAACAAAATGACCCGGACAACGAAAAAGGGTAACACCGTTGTAGTAAAAGAATAACCA